AAAATTTAAAAAAATAAAATAAAAATTTTAAAAAACCCAGTGAAGGGATAAACTGAATGTGGTAGATGGTGACAATGGAATATTACTTGAGCCGTCAGGAGAAATGACACCCTGATGCACGCTACAGCATGGATAAACCTTGAAACATGACGTCAGTCAATCACAAAAGGACAGATAGCATATGCTCCATTTGTATGAAATATCTAGACCCGGCAGGGCGAGAGGGACGAAAACCCTTAGGAAGCATCAAGTTTCTGTTTCTGGTAACGGGAAATTTGGCAAGAGACTGATGGTGATGGTTGCACAATAAAATTGCTGTCTAAATTGAAAATTGAAAACTGAGTTGTACATGTGAGAAAATGTGGAAGTGGCACAAGCGTTATAAATAAGCTCTGCTGACTTTGTGGTAAGGAGTTGTGCAGCTAACTCAAAGGCACACAGTTCGAATCTACCAACTGCTTCATGGGAGGAAGATGGACAATCTCCCCTGTGCCATTTCCTGCCTCTGAAAAACCCTCTGGAGGGTCAGCTATGGGTTAGTCAAAGGTAAACAACAATAACAACAGCAGCATACATATCTAAGGAGCTCTGGTGGCCTAGTAGCAAGAAGCTGAGCAGTAATCCTGGGGGCATGCTCTTCGAGACCACAAACTGCTTCAACAGAGAAGGATGGGCTATGTCCTCCCATGTGATTAACTGCCTCTGAAAACCCACTGGAGGAGCTGTGGGTGGGTTCTGACCCAATGGTACACAACAACAACAACAACAACATGTATTACATATATACACACACGTGCACACACCCACCCAATAATTAAAAAGAGGCAGCTGTTGAATGAGCTGTTCTGTTCATCAGTTCAAAGTCTTATTTTTGCAAATTTCACAAAAATATATGAAATGTCATAAAACCATAACCATCAAGAGGATCCCTGGAGGGGGATTTGAGGGGCCTATGGTCCCTTAGCTTCACAGTCAAGTCTCCTCTGGGCATGCAGAATTGAATACAGTCAGCAAGAATCTATAAATTAAAATGTGAGATCTCAAAGACTCTTACACTTTTCATTTTTATCAGCTTTGCAACGCTGACCAGCATCCCAAACTCACGGGGCTATCAACGGGAGGCAGGAAGCGAAGGCGACAAAGCCGTGGGCGTCATCATTGATGATCACCACTTATTGATCACGTGGTTCCTAATCAGAGAACCCTGATGGCGTAGTCTGTAGGGAGCTTCGCTGCCAACCCAAAGGTGATTCCTCCTGGCAGTTTGAATCCCCCAACGGCTCAGGGGGAGAAAGATAGGAAATCTCCTCCTGTGAGATTCATAGCCTCCAAAAGCCCACTGGGAAGTCAGCTATGAGTTGGATGGCAAGGAGTTGACTTCTGAGGTTCTTAATAATTTTCTTTTTTTAATTATTATGTGTATGTGTGTATACCATCAAATCGGATCTGACTGGTACAGGAGGAGATTGGCCCTCCTTCTCCAGCAGAGCATCTCGTGCATTCAGACCATGTACCTCTGAGATTGCAGTGCAGCTTTTTGCCACTAGGCCACCAGAGTTCCCTGAGGTTCTTAATAAGTCAGACAAGGAAGGCCCTGCCTTGTCACTTTTTAGCAGGGAGGCAGGAAATGCATGTATGAATAGTGGATAAACAAGATCATTTTTCCCATGTGAGATGTGCCCAGAAGCAAGCAAACAGAGATCTGAAATAAGAAATACAGAGGGACCACCTGAGGGAAAGGGAAGGTGCCCTAAGACCTAAAGGATAAAATGGGACTAGCAGGCTATGAGCCCTAGGAAGACTGAACCAGGTAAGGGAAACAGTAAGTGCAAAGGCCCAGGGGTAGGAACAAGACTGACTCGGCTCAAGCTTCCTTCTGAGAGGTGAGAACATGGAAATACTCACTCTTCTGTCTCCAGAGAATTAACGCGAGCGACATAGTTGCTTGGGATGTAACCTTCTTTTTGGGTGGCCAAAGAGCGTGCCTTCCACCATTCACCAGACCTGAGAGGGAGAAGGCAGTGCAGGGGTCAGAGGGCAGAAGGACCACCTCCTTAGTTCTTTTGGGCTTCTCAACCTTGACCTGGAATAATCTCCACCTCCAGTAAGCTAATAGTGTGAAAGGCAGGGTCATGGCGGTCCTGGTCACCAGTGGGTACCTTGGGCTTGGGGACAAGGAGTTTTACAAAGTCCCCACTGTACATCCATGAGTCTGGAATCAAAGCTCAAGTCCCTGGGCCTGTGGTCCCACTCTTCCTCCCATGACATGTAATCTTTGCTAGTCATCCCCAAGACAGGGCCGTGGAATAATGCACACAGGTCTAGCCAGGGCCCAGGGTCAGAGGGAGTCTGGCCAAGCATGCCCACTCCCATGCGCCAGGCCCATCACAGGGGTGCTGCTTCCAGTGATGACTGTAGGAGGACTAATTGGAGGTAGGATGCTCAGGGATCAAGGATTTCTGAATGCAAAGTGAGGCAAGGGCCCGATCCATAGGTAAGTCTGTCGCTTAGAGACTTAGGAAGACTTTCTTGAGAAAATGCTGTCACTAGTCAGCTCTGCCTGGGTGTGTACCACCGGGTCTCCTCCACTGAGGCCTTCATCCACATTGACAGCAAACCCTAACTCCTCTAGGATGGCCATGTTCTTGTCAATCATTTTCACCCAAGAATGTCTATCTGGTTCCTGGATGAAAGCACAAAATCGAGGATCATGGACGGTTGGAGGTGAGAGTGTCCTGGGGGAGGGGCAGCAGAGGGAGACTCACTCCTCCAGGACCACCATCTGGTCTCCCTTCTGGAAGCTGAGGTCTTCGTGGTGAATAGCCTCGTAGTCATACAGGGCAATCACAGTGACGTCCTCAGAACCTGCTGGGAAGGGAGGCACGTGGGAGGGTGTCCCTGGCACTTGGACAGTCCTGAGTATCTGCCATCCCAGCACCAGTCACCCAGCCCTGGACCCACTGAGGGGGGTGTGTGTGTGTATGTGTGTGTGTCATGATGCAAGTAAGCAAGCTGCACATTAGATGTGATTCTCGCAGTCTAAATGAAGGGTGTTTTGTTCACACCACTAACCTGCGTTACAGAAACACAAAGGTCTGCCTGGGATAGTTTAGGGGCTTTTCAAGAGTGATTTTGATTGCTTGGGATTTTTGCCTCAAGCTCACTGAGAATCTAACCATGCATGGTAATTCACGACTCTGTGGCCTGCGTTGTCCAGGTACTCACCCTCAGAGGACTCCTGCTGCTTGCCATTGCCATTAAACCCCTGTGGGGAGGAAATAGGAAGAATGAATGGGATGGTTTGTGTGAAGTCTCAGAAGATCTATGTTGAAAGGGAGACCCCAGAGCACTCATTCCAGCTCTATATGTCATGGAAGGAGACCCAAAGACAATCAAGGTTACACTGGGGCAGAGCCAGTGTGAGAATCCAAGCCCCAATCCAGAGTAGTGGGCTCTGCCTTGGGAATTCTGGGGGATACGGGCTTATCCTTTGCCCTTGGCAAGTAGTGGTGAGGAGTGGTGGTTGGCAGGGTGGACCGAGTCAGGGGGTTAGTGGTCCTGATCAGCATTTCCTAAAATGTGTTTGAAGAAATCATAGGTCCATCAGCATATCCCATGAATAAAGATTCCATCATGATCACCAGGATGGTACAGGTTAGGGCAAGGTTCAATCTGTTGTTCATAGAACTGTTATGCATCACAGTTGACCCAGTGGCAACTAACAACACGTAACTAGGAAACAGGCTATTTTTCCATGCAAAGGGGAATCTGAGTCTAAACTTGCATGCTAAGTAACCTTGATAAGAAGAGAGTTAGGCTTCATAACTGATACAACTAGATCTTAAACAATTTAGGTAACTTCCGTGCCTCATCTGTAGCAGCCCCAGTGGCTCTGTGGGGTGGTTTGAATCTACCAACTCTCTGCAGGAGGAAAAATTAGGCCATCTAATCTCAATCACCTGTTCTGCATCAGAGAGTTGGACAATGACCAAGGAGGATAGAAGGAGAATTGATGCCTTTGAGCTGTGGTGCTAGAGAAGAGTATTGAGAATACCATGGATTGCTAGGAAAACAAACAGATTTGTCCTGGAGAGGGTTAAACCGGGTGGCTCCTTGGAGGCAAGGATTCTGAGGCTCCGTCTAACTTACTTTGGACATGTGAGGAGAGACTGGTCCTTAGAGAGGGACATCATGCTTGGGAGGGTGGAGGGACGGCGCAGGAGAGGAAGGCCCTCTATGAGGTGGATTGACTCAGTGACTGGGATAATTGGGATGGGAGTGTCAGAGACAGTGTGATTGGCACAGGATAGAGCGGAGTTTAGGGCTGTTGTACATAGCGTCGCTATGAGTCACAGGCGACTCGACAGCACATAACAACAACAACAACAATCTGCAAGTGCTCAGGCCGTTCGTTCATAGGGTCACTATGAGTCGTCTATGACTCGACGGCACCAAACAACAACAACCACAATCTGCAAAGATTCACAGGTTTGGAGACCCCATGTGACAGTTTTGCTTTGTCCTAAAAAGTCCCTGGGTCAGAACTGGCATGATGACAATCACATTATTTTGGTTCTGGGGTTCTGTTTTTTGTACCGTATCTGTAAAGTGAGTACAAGAAAAGCTGTTACTTGTGAAACAACGAAAGAATTTTTCTTTTATTTTTCAAAGAGAAGAGTGTACTGGGATGGGGAGGGGTGGGCAGGGTGAAAAGTGCAACAATGAATGAATGAATGGAAATCCAAAATCTCTGCAAATTTTCATTAAAACTAATAATAATAAAAAATTTTTTAAAAAGCTGTTACTTACAAAAGAGTTAGTGTGGTGATAGAGAAATGAATGATTGCAATGTGCTTAAGATAGTACTCAATTCCTATTAAGCTTCGTATAAGCATAAAATAAGTGTCTGCACTGTAACCCTGAAGGCCTACAGTTCAAAGCCACCAGCTGCTTTGTTGGAGAAAGATGGGCAATCTCCTCCCATGCAATTAAACTGCCTCTGAAAACCCGCTGGAGGGTCAGCTATGGGTCGGTTCTGACTCCACTGCTTCCCTTACTGATGACTCCTCCTGTTGTTCCTGTTGATAGTATTGCACATCAGTGTTGTTGCTACACTTGATACTCCAGGCCTCACCACAACTGATACCACCACTCCCATTGATCCCGTCTGATCCTGTCTGCTACACTCAGGCCGACCACCCAGGCCTGGATTGCAGGACAAAGAGAAGGCTGCTGTGTGTGGCCAGGCAGTTCCACTTTGTCCCAAACACACTCCGCTCATCAATGAGGCATATTAGGTTGTGGGGTAATGTTGGGGCAGCCACTCGTACCTTGTTCTCCCCGGCCCCCACCCGCACCACTCACCCGCTTGCCCGAGGACGTGGGATCCGGCACGTACATGGGGCAATGTGGGGTGGCGCTGGGCTCATTTTTGGAAAGCTTGCCTCCTCTTGAAAGAGGGAACTTGGACTTCACGCACCCCATCCTATAGCAGAGAGAAGAGAGTGAGTTGCAGGTGAGTCTTTCCACTCTGGCATTTCAGGGCCGTGTCCCAGGCTGGCTTGTATTCACCTGGCCAGCCAAACTGCCCCCACCCCAGCCGACCCCACTCACTCTTGCTCTCAGCCCTCCAGGCTTTGCCACAGCCACGTCTACCCACTACCCAGACCCATCAGATGAGGAGCACCAGGGCCCAGTGAGACCAGGAGCTCACCCAGAAACAATCAAGAGGATAAGAGAAATTCAACAGCAGAGCTGAGGAGCACAGAGAATAGTGGGCCGCTGGCTTTCAGCCCCTGAGCTGACCCTTGGCCCCCCCTACTCCACCAGCACCTCCTTGGTCACCCCTGCCCCCAGGTCTCATTTTCTCATCACTAAAATGTGAATAATTGTGACACCTGCTCACAGGGTGTTGGGAGGATGAAAAGAGAAAGCACATTGCGGGAGAAATCCTTAGCACAGCGTCAGGCTCAGAGGAGGCAGTAAGGCAAAACAGTACTATTGTTATGTATTAAAATTATCATCTTATGTTGAATGACAAAATGCTGTTCTATCTTGGGAGTTGAAAAACTCAGCTAAATAATAGACACACCAGCATCTTCCGGGTGTCGTTTTATGATTGGCTTACAAGGAATTCCTCTATGACTTTCTTCTTCCTCTTTCTTGTTGTCTCTCATGGATTTATTTGACTATCATTTATTCACTCAGCAAACATAAGCACTGCTCTAAACTGTGAGTCCTTGGGTAATGCCCAGTTACTAACTGAAAGGTTAGTGGTTTGAGTCTACAGAGACACCACTGCAGAAAGACGTGGTGATCTACTTTTTAAGAATCAGTCACTGTCAAAAAAACTATGAGATATCATCCCACCCCAGTCAGAATAGCAAAAATTAACAGAAGAGCTAGCAACAAATGCTGGCGAGTTTGTGGAGAAACTGGAACCCTCATTCACTGTTGATGGGAGTGTAAAATGGTGCAACCACTGTTGAAGGCGCTATGGCGCTTTCTCAAAAAGTTGCAAATAGAGATACCATTTGACCCAGCAATTCCACAACTGGGAATATACCCCAAAGAGACCATAACTGACATCCAAGC